AAGGGACACTGTCAGCAGTAATCCATGGCAAAAACTTTCTTAGTGCTGAGAAAAATAGAAAGGATACGGCCTTTGCGATCATACCAAAAACCTCTTTCCAGATTTGGAAATCACTGAAATTATTAGACCCTTCTTTTAAGGGAAGGCAGCAGTGGGGACCAGGAGACCTCAGACATGGAAAAGGTTCATGGGTGTGGGTTTATAGCAGAATAATGATGCACTTTGCTGCCAAGGTGTTCAAAACTCTTTTGTCTTAAAGGCTCAAAACAAAATTGTCATAGTTTTGTGTATCGACCACGATATCCGTAACTGCAATTACAACGAGCCCAGTTTTATTAGGTTTTGATGGCCAAAAATAGCTGTGGATGATACCTAAAATAATCATGATAATGGTAATGATCAGCCTGAGGAGATAATATTTGTTTACAGTTGAGGTTGATGTTTAGATAACATTAATAAAATAGGCAAGAAGTGAAGGTAATATTATATTGATGTAGAGGGGGTTAAGAGACAGTAGTACATTGTGTGATAAAAGGCGAATATAGTGTAATCAGTTTTAATAGTAGTGAGCAATTCCCGCCTTCAGTATTGTCAATATATCCAATATGGGCAGCAGTGGTGAGAGTAGGTGTTATCAGTGATGTTAAGATATAGTTTTGTTTTCTCAGTAGTAATAGAGGTGGAGTAGTGGTGATAACAGTGGTGCTTACATGTGAGGATAAACGTTATCCAGTGAATGTCAGGGGTGTGTTGGTTGTTGTGAGTGGACTTGAGAGGTTGAGGATTGCTATAGCAATTGGTGAACATAGTAGCCTTATCATTAGTAGGAGGAGGAGCCCAGGATGGGATCACATACATGGGGTCGGACACGAGCTTGATAGAGTGTTCTTGTTGAAGAGGACGCTCTTCATGAAGCTCATGCTGGTCTCGTTGTCATCACAAAACGGACAGGTCGAGTCTGATACAATTACAGCGTAAACGTGATGGGAAGTTCAACGATCACCTAAAAACTGCTTTGTTAGGCCCATGTTGAATTTTTATGTAGCTCTTTTATTATTTATGTGCCAACACCTGCCAACGAAAAACTTTAATAATGAGACAGTTATATTAAGGTTTAACATTTGTAGGAAATGTGCAGTGACCTGTGCAACATGTATTTGTATGATTGTTTAATACCGATCACCTTTGACTAACATTTGGTGGGAAAATTTTCACCTGCTCAAAATTTATCACACATTAATTACCTTAGGCGCTTCTAATGCCGCCAAAGGGGGCCACCAGTATCACCAGTCCCTGAGGACCTTACACGCACCCACAGCCTGCCACTATCAACCCTAACCCAACAGTCGTTCACAATCTTCCAAAATCATGAATTCACAATCCTTCCCTTCCACCAATTCGTTCCCTTCCGGAGGGAACACCTGGCTCGCTAGTCTCCCTGATTCTTATCTCTCACAATGTATATCGACTACATCTTACACCTTCCTCCATTATTCATTATTTCCGTTATGTTTTTTTGTTTTTTCACTTCATTATAACTTTTTAAAAATTTATAGGAATTCGTTCATTAATTCTTTATTAAATTAATACTTTTTGAGGATTTAATCTCTATTAACCGTTCATGTCTTTACACTTATTAATATTATATATATATATTATATATATATATATATATTATATATATATATATATATATATAATAGATATATATATATATATATATTATTATATATATATATATATATATATAAAGGTCAGGCTATATTATATTTATTTGTATATATATATATATATTATATATATGAATATATATATTATATATATATATATAATGTCAGCTATTAATTGATTCTAATAACTTGCCACTATAAGGATGTCAGGCTTATGGGGACGTGTAATTGAAGGAGGGGACTTATTTCCCCTGATTTGAATATAGGAAACACATATTTATATATATATATATATATATATATTTATATATATATCTATATATATAATAGTCTTATATATCTATTTATATATATATATATATATATATATATATGTATGCAAGGAATTCGCAAGAGCAGGCGAAAAAATATACACAAAACATGATCCTTCCTGTGTTTTGTGTATATATCGATGCTCTTGCGAATTCCTTGAGTGTTAAATATCTCTAGTTAAGGTGATGCATGCAGGGGCATGAGATCGAAAAGCTGTAAGCCTTCTCCTGAAAAGCTGGCTGCCTTGGATTCAAAAGTCTTGGCACAGTGGACATCAAAAAGTATTGGTCCAGTCGAGGGTAGATTGTTTACCACTGCGTACTTGTTCCAGGTGTAGGTTCGAGTCTCCTTCAGCCTGAGATCAATGTTTTATATATATATATATTTATATATTTATATATATATATATATATATATAATATATCTTATCATAATTACGATAATATATATCTATATATTATTAATTTCCAAGTGTTCTTGATCTCTCACATATATCAAGGAAGCGTAAAAATAGAAGGAAAATCACAAGGCTTATGAAGCTAATATTTCACCTCATCACCTCACACACAACCCGCCTAACCGAACCGTGGGCACGGGTAGTGTGTGAGGGTGGACACTCACGTGTTAAGTAATTTATTTTTATAAGGACATGTCAAGCAAAGCTTAAAATGCCTCTAAATACTAATTTTAATGTGTAATGTAGTTTATATAAACTCTGAAACTACTTATTCATATAGACAATCAGTGCTACTTTTTTTTAATTTGATTCAGTTTATATTTTTTCAACGTGGGACCTGTTGTTGATACAACATTTTCTGGTCATTGGAAAAATATTTTGTGTTTTAAAAATCGGGTTACATGAATAACCAGAATATTAGACTCTCGCAGTTCCTGTGTATATTTATGTTGTTTCAAATCTTAGTGCAAAGACTTTTTCCAGTCTGTACATACAACAAATACGTAGTATTTGTTACCAGGGCAATCGTTATGAATCACATCATCAGAAATTTTATTAGGGAGAATTCTTAATCATATGTTTTTTACTATATGAAAAGTTTTAAATACCATCTTTTGAATTTTAAAAAACATTCTAATGTAAGAAGGCATATTCAAGTAGGGTTCTGATGGATTTGAAACCAACAATAAATGGTAAATGGTAAAATCATAAATCATTCGCGGTCTTCAAGATAGGAAACTTCAATAAGTCATTACCGGACATTATGTAAACAATGAATGACATCATAGTAGCCATAGGGACATAAATATATACTAGCAATTTGAATAAGTTTTTTACGCAATGAACCTATGAAGCTAATAATAGGTCTGCTGGATCTAACTGGTTTATTGTTTTTTTGATTAATTCCTTACATATTGGTAAACAGTGGGTTAATGGTCATGATTTTTTAATAGTTTATCTGAAACTAAGGGATTTTTTCCTTAGTTCAGAATAAGTATCTGTAATATATTTAATAAAAATTTTTTTTTAAATAACTACTGCATTTATTGTTTGTTTCTGGTTTAGCAATAGGGCAATTTTCATTATTTTAAGATTTTTCATATAACTGTATAAAATCTCACAATGAGGAATAGGGAAATAATTTTGCTTTATCATGGAACTATAAAACCATCCATTACGTGTTAGCATAAAACTGGTTGCATATACAACAAGTTCAGGATTGGGTAAACCTGGCTGTGATCCTTTAGTCATTGAAAAATCTTCACGGATACCATTTTACCAAGTTCTATATTGCGATTTTATAACATTCCTAATAAAAAGAGAAAACTGCCAAAATGTTTATGAATTTGTGTTCTGTCGGATTCTTGATCGAGAAAGTCTCCTTCATGTCCTCTGCCCCAGCATTCTATCATTCCAAAACGTACACTTATCTAATCAATTTCTACAATGTTCTTAGGTAAATTTAGCAAACTGGCATTATAGCATATAAAAAATCAAACTCCATTAAAAAAAATAAACAGTCATTGAAAATTCGAAGCTTATCATAAGGAGTACCTAAATACATTATACAAAAATAAAAAATTAAATGCTCTTTAAAAATTGGAAACATTATTACCCATAAAGTTTTAATTACGGTCAAAATTGTACTCTAAGTTACTTTACTTCAGGAATTTTAAAAAAAAGGGCAATAAAATTTAATTTTGTAGTTGTTAAACAGAAAAAAAATATTCCAATTCGTTCACATAAATAACAATATTGGCATTATACACGCCTAGTAACACTCCAACTCTTTTGCATTATAAATCCACCAGAAATATCCTTCCCAAGTTAGGAATGATTAGGAGGTTTCTTGATTGTCGACGAGACGCATTTGATTCAGACCTGTACTTGGTACCTTCACTTTATGGCATTTGAATTTGAATGTCTTTATATTTATAAAAATTGCTGTTTAAACCCCTCGAGTTTAGCGTTCTCCTAAATATAATAGCACTATAACTGAAACGTTATCCAATATTTGAGTTTCATGGCACCAAACACAAAACAAAGTTCATCATAATAACGTTGAGATTTTTCTCTAAGTATAAGATTTACGATTTTCAAAGTTTGCAGTTATGAGAGAGATATTCTGAAAAAATTGACTAACAAAAAAGAAAAAACTGATCAAAGAAGTGTGTCAAGGATTGTTTCAAGAGAGCTTTAAATTCTCCAAACCCTTTTATTAAATTAAAGGGGCATCTATTTGAATAACTTTAAAACTATTATTATATTAAATTCAATTACTCTTATTTTATATGAAGCATGATTCGTATTATTGCTTTCAACCATTGACCTGGTTGGTATAATTCTTCTTGGCCTTTGAAAATTCACTTGGCTTGTTGAAATCTCTAACATGGAATAAATAGAGAATTAGACTCTTGTCCAGTTGTAATTCCCAGTTACAAAATATGGAAAGAAGATTGAAATAAGACCTTAATGCTATCTTTCACGTAAAAGGAAAAACTTAATGTTATATTAGCATAAAAAAAGGAACTTTCAACAGTTTGTTGTAGGAAATGGCTTACAATGAATTCCACCTGTATTCAATATTTTGCTTAGACCACGATGGAGTTACCTTAGAGAACAAGTTGTGTAGTAAGGTCAGGATGGTTGTATGGTCGACGATGATAGCGAATCTTTCATGCAATACCATCCTGTCACCTTCTTTCATACAGTCCATAATAACGCTGCCTTTCCTGGCCCAAAACCCGCCGTACAGTGAGGTAATTGTAGCATCTGCAATCCCAAGACACGTTAAAAAACAGTACAGTTATTACCACTCATGCTATTGATAATAATGCTGATTATCTTAATAGTTACAATAAGACGGATAATAAATAAATGGAGTGACTACATGAATAGGTAAAAATCAACGTAAACAATCAAGTGTAATTTTGATGTCCATCTCTAAAAAGACCGATTAACAAATATAGATTTGAAACGTTCCTGTTTTTATGGGGCTTATTGGTGGCGCAGCTCAATATGAAAGAAATGAAAAGTCTGAAGCCGTAATGAAAATAATCCACGTTAAAAAAAATTACATAATTAATAAATCCGGTCTGGCCTTGCAACATTTAGGACTTACATCCGGAGGGTTGGTTAGTTTAGTTAGAGAAGGAACAGAAATTTCGGTGCTGTGTGACCAAAACTGAATAACAGGATGGTGGGGTCACGGCGGATTGGATGATAGATTTTGACTTTTTAATCACAGAATTTAGTAAGTTCTCATGAAAAAACTTGTTAAACCAGGGAAAAGGGTTGACAAATTAGAATCTCCATGTTTACTTTAAAGGTGTCTTGGATTGTACTAAAAACCTTCTACGTATTGCCACTGTTTATAATTATTAAAATGCTAAACATACCCCGGCCGGGATGAACCGGGGTATTAAGAGTCTCAAAAACTCCAGCCCGTCGCGCTAGCCATAGACCCAGCTTAGCCACAATAAGAATCATCCAACTAGGTATATTTCTACTCCATAGGAAAGTTAGCACAGGCACCTTGTGCCACAAATGCCAAGTTTTTACCAGTCGATCTCCAGCTAGCGTGGCCGTGGACGAACCTCTAGCTTCAAGTCCCCTTCACTGCCGTCAAACATGGACTTAAGAAATCGTAATGAGACTCTATGACCGCGGGTTCAATCCCGGGCGGTGGTATGGTTTATTTGCAATCGTGTCATTACGATTTCTTAGTCATTAAAATGCGTAGTACACATCCACTAGCATCCTTAATTTTTTCTCTTGGTTAAATGGACACCACCACTGTATATATTGCGAAGGAATTGAAAGATCTGTTCTTTTGTTATTGCACAGAAACCCTTATAGGAAGACATACAGTATAAAGTAAGAATAAATAATACGGATAACCAATAAAGACATACATTTCAGGTAATCCTTATTGATTTTTTACTGTAGCATATTTTGTTTCTCCTTTGCAAAAACATTTTTCTATAATACTGTGGAATTATAAATTTTATATTACCGTTTCTTTCAGTGTAGTATGGGTTTGATTCTAAAAAAAAAAATAACTTAGCTTTTGTTTCTACCAACTGACTTTCAGATAACTGACTCATGAAATCGTTAATGACACGATTGCAAAACAAACCATACCCGGGGGGTTAGAACCGCGATCAGCCACTCTCTGATCGAGTGGTGTAACCTCACTGTGGTAGGTTTGACTTTCAGTTATATGTTCAAGCTGTATAAGACCTTTTTGGAAAAAAACATTTATAACGTAGGAGTTTCTTGGTTTTTTTTAAAGTACATTACGATAACGGATAGCGTTTAAATGAATTACACTGTTAATCGTGTCCGTCCCTGATCTGGCTTTTTTTTTATAACATACAGAAAGACAGACACAAAAAAAAAATACATTGAAATATGGGGTTAGTCACTCCATTATGTGGAAAGGGACTCGATTTTTTGATAATGGCCAGACAAGGTTACTTACAGTAATGTGAAATTCTATGGGGACAGGAGTAAATTTTAGATTGTCCATAAAATTTTGCTAGTTTCGGCTTAATGTAATCGTGGGGTTCTAATTTTTTCAGAAAGAGTTGTTAAGGCTATTCTTGCAAGTGTGTCGAAGAACCGTGGTTTCACGAAGTTCTCCTTTTGTGTTCTGAATTTTACTGCTGAAAATTCTGATGGTTGTAAACACCTAGGAAGCGGCGCAAGTATTGTAGTTCTTAATAAAACATGCTGATTTAAGTATCAGACGATCGCCCGAAAATTTTGAGCCTAGCAAAGTCAACTACTGGTCGGATTATAAAGAGAGGATGACGGCACTGGTGATGTGTTGAGTGGCTGGGTCGAGAAGATGTGGACGGAAATGCAAGAAAAAATTTCTCACAAAAAACAAGTTTATCCTAAAGCAATAGTGTGAAGGGTCACAAACAAACAACAAAAGTAACTAATAGAGAGATTTTGGGTTTCAAAATGGCGTATTGAAGTGATGGCAGAACCTCCAGTTATGAAGAAAAAAAACGGTGCGGTGGTCACTCGATCATAAAGGGCATGAAGGCAGCCAGATTAAAAAGAAAAATTATATTTTTTAAATGGGGTGCATTTTATTGAAGTACATGGATAAACATAACAGCGGATGGTTGAAGACAAGAGCAAAGGGCGAACCCCTTCGGAATGGACTCATTTCAAGAGCGCCAAAAACACACTTGACAAGGGGATGCTTCGGCATGATCAGAAATATACAGTGGAAACCTCTGGTCACCGACCATAATTCGGTTTCAAAAAACTCGAGTTTTTCACGACCTGAAATAATTTTCCCCATTGGATTGTATGTGAATTCGATTAATCCATTTCCATACCCCTCGGAACTGTATGAAAATAATTGGCTTTTTTGCTTTTAACCATTATAAATTGCTAATTATACCATAGGGATGCGCATTGTAATAGTAAAACTAAATGAATGGACACTTAAAATAACATTGAGAAAAAACCTTGACTAACAGAGAAAACTCAACATTGCACGAGTCTAAGAGTTATAAGGAGGCATCTAATGGGCTGAACTGTGAACTATGAACTACGTATTTATCTTCCTATTACTTTATTTTTTTGGTGTACGTTTAGAGGTGGCTTTCCATCATAACATTCCACGCGTTTCAATAAGATGCCCATAAACACAGTGAGGGGGGGAAAAAAATCAGTTACCAAAAAACATGGGTGTGGACGGAGCTGACGTTAAACTTTGCTTATTGTACCCATTTTTCGTTCAAGTCGGACGTTCGGTCCGACTTGAACCAATTTACAAAGTCACACTAAACAGAATGGAGAGAAGGGGGCATGAAAAAAAAAAAACATTCATGCTTAGCAAAGCCCTATCTGGGTTACTGGCACTGCGAGAAGCTTGTTTCGGCACTCCATGATGATAAACATTGCTACACTGGAAATTTAATCGTGGTCAATAATCACAGGAAGTGGGGAAAATTGGCGCTTTGCTAAAAAAAAAAATGGTGAGAATGTGAAAAACATTGGCGCGGCTTGGGTTGTTCGGCCAAAACGATTATGTGTTGTGACCGATACAACATGATGGCGTCTTTTTTTGTTTGTGAACCGATTTGTTTTCTGCTTCGGAAGGTTCATGACCCAGAGGTTCCACTGTATGTAAAATTAAAATAATGAATGATTTCTTACGAAGACTAATAATGAAACAAATTTAAAATGTAATAATTTAAAAAAAAGGTTGGTTCGCATTGGTTTAGGGAGAATCTTAAGATTCTGTGTCCCGGAGAATGTTCTTGTCCTTGAATAGGCGGTGGTAGTAGTAGAGAGTTGAGTAGGATGTATGAAGCTGACACAAGATAATCAAAGAAGTGCTGAGGAGTTGCTTTGTGTGTCAATAATGTAACGGCCGGCCGGGATCTAGCTCCTATATATCTAGCGTCGACCTGGATAACCAGGCAGCAGCAGAGCTGATAATAAAAAAACATGGTTATACGGGGTTCTTAATTATACAATGAAGAAAGAGAATCTGTGGTTAATTTTGCTTCAATGTCATTCTATATCAGGTTAAAATGCCAAAAAAAATTAAAACATTATTCCTTGCAGATCCACCCCGTACCAGATCACAAGGAGTGGAGGTGAAGTGCTTTCCAGATATCAACCAGACTCCGCGGTAAGGTTAAATGCTATCAGGGAGATGGAGTAAAAGAAAAAGAAACTCAGACTGAGGAAACTGGAGTTTCAGGCGGCGCTAGATGACAGTGCGCTTGACTAAATAACAGTGGTCAAAGGAGTTGATACACATAAACCCCATTTCACTAACTTTTCCCTCACACCACTTAAGATGTTTCGTTTTTTTTCTGAAGGAACGATTGAGCGTGACGCACATACAAGGTGATCATGAAGACTCATTTGCTGCCCATGGTAATTACAGACTTTCCTTGATATGGACTAAGCGTATTAAAATAGCGCCATGGAAAACTTCCTGACTTTAGTCAAATTGAGGAATCAATGGGTATAAAACAAAAGCAAAATCGCGGGACACAGAACTGTTCAAAATGTGGAGAAGCCAATTGCTACTGTTATTAGGACTTGGTTTACTTCGAAGAAGAACTTGCCAAAAAAGTGTTCAACATTGGTTCGATTTACGCCGAAGCGTGTACCAATGCCAGTTATAAAAGCAATAGAGTAGTTTATTATCTATTATTAAACAATTTTTGTCTTATTCACTGCGTGTTAATTTTCAGATAAAATAATAGATTTTAAAAAAATTAACTTGATGTATTTTATCACTTGTTCTACACTTAATTATGCTCACTACTCTATATATTATTCATTAGGTGGAAACCTTCAATTTCACCAAAAATGCAGAGGTATAAAGTTGTGCAGGGTAGATACCCGGTAACTGTGCGGGGATTGATGTAACAACTTTCGGAGTCTGCTTGTCCTGTAGTGTGGTGGAGATAACAACTCCCTCCTACCAAAAATATACGGAATTTTCGTCCTGGTAACCAGTCCCCTCCAGATTTAGTGTAAGGGATAATTTACTAAAAAATTAAAATTAAAATTATATTTTATTTTTCTGCAGTTTACTAAAACAATATATATATATAACCCAATTCATTGTGCAATCAGGAAAAAATTTCGTTAGAGAATAGGAAGAAGCTTTTGTAGCTTTTCTATACTCTTAAGTTGAAACAGTTAATTTTAACACTTTATTTTCCTGAACATCTTTGTTTTCAAGGTAATAAATTATGTTGGTAAAAATACATTGACAATTTGTTTATACTTGCCCAAGTTTACACTGTCTGTATAAAATAAATCTGCTAAGTATTTTGAGGGACTGGACTTGGAATGGATGAACATGCCATGAGGTTTGCGGCAGTAAACAGTGGAGAGAATGAGAGCAAACCAGGAGCCAGAGAGGCTTATTACCTTCGTGTAGCTTGAGAAGGTTACCCAGGGGACAGGGGCTCGTCCATAACACAAGGCTCGGGTTTAGTTACAAACATCGCACCTTATTCATTTAACATATTCTAGCTTAGGTATTCTGATGATCTAAGAGTAAAATGATTGCAGTTAATAATACATATTGCTAAAATAAAAACAATATCGAATTATTATATACCTTGAAGGTTCGTATTAAAATTTCATTTAAAAATTTTTTTGGATTGAGGTGAAGCGTAGGTATAGAAGATTTAATTAAAATTATTATGTATCCTGAGGGGTACCTTAATCTTTTTTTCCCTCTTATTTTTCTAATTTATTTTGTCACAACTAGAGAACGCATTCATCAATCGGCATTTCCAACATTCCCCCTGTAATAAGTAAAGGTAAATCAAATTGTCTATGACAAAATCATACGTACTCGCCCCAAAATATTGTTCCTCTCCCTCGCTCGACTCTCCAACTTCCACACCGACCCCCCATCAACCACCTCTACAGCTAACTCAAACAAAAACCACATGCCTCCACCCGCGCCCTACTCATCCACCGAACCTACCCAAACTCCACCCAATCCCTCCCACCCCCCATACCCCACCCCCCCCCTCCCCCCCACCCCAACCCCCCCACCCCCCCACCCCACCCCCCCCCCCCCCCCCCACCCCCCCCCTCCACCCCCAACCCCCCCCCCCCCCACCCACCCCCACCGACCCCCCCCCTCACGCTACCTTCAACCCCCCCCACCTACCACCCCCCACCCCACCCCCCCCACACCACACCCCACCCCCGCCCCCATGTTTTCTCTTCAAAGGATCTTACATAAAAAAAAAGTGAGAAAATATGAGCCAAGGTCACTGACTTGTGGTAGTTCAAATGCGCCGCCTACGGGCGTACGTTTCAAGATTTCCATTCACTTAAATTTAATATCAAACTACGTGATTTTTGACCTATTATAAAAAAAATAATCTGACTGGGAAATTATTTTCCAAGGACTATACAAAAGATTTTTCTCGTTGGGGCAAATGTTTTACAATTTATACTAATTTTTTACGTAATCTATCTTGCATACGTTTACCAATGGTATTGGCTTAATATTACTTTTAATGCGGTACTGTCAATCACCACCTGTAGTACATACACTATAGGTTGTCCCCATCACCCACTGTTGTGATACACCATGCAGTCACTTCACCACTGTAGTGAAACACCATATTGTCCACATACAATGTATAGTGATACTCTCCTACTATCACATCACCACTGTAGTGGATAACATTTTCGTATTGTCATCATCACACTGTAGTGTTACCCATACTCGTCACCATCACTTTGTAGTGATACTCCATAATGTTCCACCATCACCACTGTAGTGGATACTTCATACAGCCACCATCCCAAGTAGTTAATACCCCCACCCCACCCACCATACTGTCACATCACCTCTGTATTGTACTCCATACTGTTTCACCATCAACCAAGACTTCTGTAGTTGAATACATCATATGTCACCATCAACACTTGTAGTGATACACCATACTGGCACCCCAATCACTTCTGTAGTTGATACTCCATAATGATCACCATCACCATGTAGGATACTCCATACTGCCACCCAATCACACTGTCAGTAATAACTCATACTGTCACCCATCACCTCTGTAGTGAATACTCCATAACTGTCACCCATCACACGGTAGTGTACATCATTTACTGACACCATTCCACCCCTGTAGTTGGATAACCATATGTCACACCATCACTTATGGTAGTGATACTCCATAAATGTCACCATCACCACTGTAGTGATACTCCTACTGCCACCAATCACCACTGGTAGTAATACCACCATTACTTCACCATCACCTTGTAGTGTTACTCTATAACTGTCACCATTTCACGGTCGTGATTACCAACCACACTGTCGTCATCAAACTGTTGTGATACACCTTGCAGTCACCATCACTCTGTAGTGAACACCACACTGTCATCATCACCACTTGTTGTGATACAGCAGCAGTTCACCATACCTCTGCGTTATCACCACACTGGTCATCATTCACCACTGTTGTGATACACATGCAGTCACCATCCCCTCTGTTAGTGAGGGGGGGGGGTTACACCAACACTGTCATCTATACAAATGTTGTGATACACCCATGCAAGTCACCATTATTACCTCTGTAGTGATTACACCACACTGTCATCATCACCTCTGGTAGTGATACCACCATACTGTCGCTGGTGATAGTATCGTTTTACACAAAAAACTTCTTTTGGATAAAATTGTTTGTACAAAATAACTGGCTCAAAAGTAATTAGTTTTAAGTTCTATATTGAAAATCCAATAGGTATAAATACTGTCATGGACAATGTTTATAGTAAAACAAAAGGATTACTTTGTATTACACTCGATAATTTTTTCTACTATTTTTTTATTATTGCGCTTCTGATTGTAATGAAAGGATACTAAGATAATATTTAAAAATTGTATTTATATAACCACAGTTAAGTTCAAAATCAAATATTCTTATTTTTTATTTTGAAACAGAAAAGTTCACTATTAAATCACATTTTTCTATGGCGAGTGCAGCAACTGATACCACGGCAGTGTGTACATGAGGCTCGGTCACAACATTTCCAGCTTCTTATCATTGTACATCGCAGTGCTGCATACTGAGTTTTGGTACAGTTTCATTCATGAATTTTCAGAAATGAGTCCAAATCGAACGTCACAGTCTGACCTGAAGCTCTTGTATCGGCCACATCAGGTGGAAGAACATTTAGTCAAGGACAGGTAATCAGGCTCGAGAAAAAGAAGGTGGGACAAACTCACAGATTATTTTCAACAAGTTCTAGCTTTAATCTTTCGCCTGTTCCAAAACTCCTTTGAGGAAAGTCTGATTTCCATTCCCATCGCTTCTCTGCTTCTGGAGGGGGGGATAAAACTGAAAACTATGAAATTACTAGCGTCCTTGATTGCTGTCGGCAACATCTCAGATTTTACAGGAAACAGGGGATTTTGACTTTTTTTGTGATATATGCGGTAAATGGTATATTTGCATATAAGGTTGCACATGGTTCTTCCAGGATAAATTATCATTATAGCATGATCAGTGTTATCTCGAATAACAGTCATCAAATTAATGTAAGTGTCATATGTATTTGAAATTTTTGAGTTGCAGCTTTCACGAGTTTGCTGTGTGTTGAGCTGCTGGGGGTATTGTTGTGTACTTGACTATTATACTGCTCAGGTACAGACAAACATTATATAGGCGGGCTTTTAAGTATTTTTTTTTTGTAAAAAATTTTATGCTCAACACATATTAGTTATAGCAAAAAACCAATAGTGAATAGCAGGCAACTGTTAATCTACACTTGGTCAATCCTTTGAATCCTTTTAAAAACTCGTTAAATAAACCATCCGAGTTTCCTCTGATTGGAGTCACATTTTCAGTATTTAACTGGCACTGGGTTTCAACTCCTAGCCTTCATGATGTTGATTTCAGATTTCTTGTGCCCATGAGGGGATATTGATTTAAGACTCCTAAAACAACTGGAGTGAGTTAAGCAAGAGATGCTAGGGCACTTGTGGTTGCTACCTCTAGTCCAGTAAGAATGTTAAATGATTCTGGAAGTTGTGGTTATTGGGAATACAAGATATAAATCTGAAGGTGTGTAAAGGCTTCTGAAACACTTGGTTTGCTTAGGTATGGGCATGCCAAGACATACAAGGTATTTTGGTTTGATCATCAATTACATTTAAATTTATTGAAGAAGTATTAACCACAGTTACTGGATACTTATTATTCATGATTAAGCGCTAAACCCCTTAAGTGCCAACGTTGCCCGGGAAAGGGAGGATTAGATGAAATCAATATTCTCCTAGGATAAGGGCTGTCAGTTGCAGTTCCTTCAATAAAGAGCTCTGTCACCTTTCAGAGCCGCTCTAGTTAGTACTGACGGGCCACTTTAACAATAATGTCAATAAAAATAAAATATGTGTTTTTTTCTCATATCAAGCTTTTTTAAATACATCTTTGGATTTTATAATTCTAAAGTAAGAGAAGGTATATCAAAGTAGGGTTCTGATGGGCATCTTAAGAAAACCAACAATAGTATAACGGGGTTAACCCTTTATCGGCTCGGTACTGACCGGAAAATATATTTAGCTTTAGCTTGTAGTGTACTTTTATAACTGGACCTTTTTGTGAGAATATAAAGAGAAAAGTTTTAGAGTTAGATAAATCAGGTCCGATAAGCCAAGGGAAAACAAATGAAACTTGTAGGTAAAAAATAGATAGGGGAGAAGGGTAGAGGGGGAGTTTGGAGGATTAGGAAGATGGCGGGAATATATGATGAACTGTTAAATGGTTTGATGAAAGGAGGAAGCAGTGATTTCATGGCCATGACCAGAGAGGGTATATAACATCTTTTAGGAGGAAGAAGAGCCGGGATGATTGTGTGTAATAGGTGGCGTGAGGCACTAGTGGAATTAAAGGGGTTAAAAGCAGATGGAATTGATGGAATCTTTTAAGAAATTCAAAAAGCAGGTGGGGATGTATTTTTGGAGTGGTTGGTGCTTTTGCTTAAATGAATGTTGAAAGGTGGGAGGTTCTTAGGAACTGGCAGAGAGTTTGTCTGGTTCCTTTAATAAAAGGAAAGGGGAGACAAAGAGACTGTAACAAATACAGGGGTATTGCTTACTGAGTATACTGGTAAAGTGTATAGTAGGGATATTAATGAAGGAATTATGAGTTAACGATGAGAGGCAGGAATCGCAGTTGAACAAGGCGTTCAAATGGGTTTAGGGTTGCATAGACCAAGGATGAACGTGAAGCATTAAACAACAATATTTAGATAAAGGAAGGGATGTTTTCGTTGCTTTTATGGACTTAGAAAAGGCTTATGATAGGGGATGGATATGGAAGCAATGTGGCTGCTGTTTGCAAATGATGGAAAAGCATGGTGAGTTATAAATGCTGTTAAAGGGAGGCTTTCATGGAGTGAGGACTCGGGTTAAGATATGTAGGAGAAGGAGCTTACTCTTCAGTAAAAGTAGGTCTTAGGGGACAGGGAGTGCGTAACTATCACATGGTTGTTTAAAACATATTATTAGAAGGGGTTGTTAAAGAAAATAAACGCTAGGGGGAGTTGGGTAGAGGGTGGGATTAAATTATGGGGGATTCAAATAGGATATGGGGGAGTTGGGACAAGTTTACATTTTGCTGGATGATACTGTGCTTTTTGCAAGATTTGAAAGAGAAAAGTTGCAACAGTTATTTCGCGAGTTGGGAGGGTGTGTTAAAGGATGAAGGTTGAAAGTGAGCAGAAAATAAGGAGAAGGTGACGAAGAGTATCAAAACGAGTTAGAAAT